AGAGAAAGCTATTATGCTGATTGTGTAAAAGCTGCCTGTCTCTCCCATCCCACCACAGTAATCCTTTTTGAAGCCAACCAGGGGAGGGCGGGGAGGGGAGGGAGCACGCCGAATCCTGCTTCCTGTCTGTCATTCCCACACTGAGCCCAGATGTCCACGCAGAGGGTGGCGGTTTTCAGACCACCCGAATGTCAAGAGCTACTCAAGAGAGTATCAGTGCATTAATAACCAAGGAAACAACATATTTACTTACTCAGATCAAGATTTAGGGCTGAGAGTGGAAGTGGAAAGGAGATCGGGGAGAAGAAACGCAGCCCAAGAGAGACAGCAGAGCGGTCCCAACTGTAGAGGTCAGATTCCCAGCCGTGGTCTGGACCACAGATAAACCAGCATAATGACCAGCTAGATTTTTGCATAGACAGTAAATTCTATAGTTGAGTCAGACAACAGGCTCTGGAATGGACATATCTATAAATCTGCAATATTCTTGAATATTTTGAAGGTTTATGAGTCACACACACAAATGTCTTATCAAATCAACATTAATCTGCATCAACCTAAGTCATGGAGCTGTTACTATCAGGAAACAATTTAGGCACTTGGATGTAATAACGGGTGATCAGAGTTCAGTGTATAAATAATATAATAATTGCATCAGAATACTTTTTAAAGAAATAAAACATGCCCTACCAATACCTGTAACGTTCACATTACTGATTTCTTTTACTAGGTATGGAGAGATCGATAATAGTTATTTTTTTCTGTATTTTAAAATTTTATATAAATGGCATCATACTGTATGTGTCCTTCCAACACAATCTTGCAAAGATTTATCTGGATTAATGCTTGTAGACTGAGGGCATTCCTTCCCCTCCCAAACCCAGGGCCTCTAGGTAAGGGTATTAAAAGCCCAAGCCTGGTCCTTCAGGTGTAGGTGTGGATGCCCACTGCTCCGCCGCTGTGCCATGCAGCGGCCTCCCAGGTCCCCCACTTTACCTTAGTGCACACACCACTATAGCTCTACATTTCCTTTCTGTCTCTGGGACTTAAACGTTTCCTTTTTATCTAGCTCCACTGAGTACTTAAAATTTGGGGTTACGTTTGAAACAAAAAGACTTTTTTTTTTTAATAAATTTATTGACTGATTGATTTTTGGTTGTGTTGGGTCTTCGTTGCTGCGCGCGGGCTTTCTCTAGTTGTGGTGCACAGGCTTCTCACTGCGGTGGCTTCTCTTGTTGCGGAGCACGGGCTCTAGGCACGTGGGCTCCAGCAGTTATGGCTCGTGGGCTCTAGAGCACAGGTTCAGTAGTTGTGGCGCACGGGCTCATTAGTTGTGGCTCGCGGGCCCTAGAGAGCAGGCTCAGTATTTGTGGCGCACGGGCTTAGCTGCTCTGCGGCATCTGGGATCTTCCCGGACCAGGGCCCGAACCCGTGTCCCCTGCATTGGCAGGGGGTGTTCTTAACCACTGCTCCACCAGGGAAGTCCCCAAAAGACATTCTTTGTTAGGTGGAGGGGAGCCTGAAGCAGCCTGGTCCGCCGTGTTGCTGGCACTGGATGGAAGGTGATCCTGGGCCAATGAGAGCCACCCATCGATTCTTTGGGATCTGACTTTTCCACACTTTCCACTGTCCTGTGGGTCTCCTAGTCACGTCTGTGGGTGACTGGCCCTTCCCCACAGCACAGGGGAAGAGGAGTAAGAAAGCACGTAAAAACATGTGCCCCAGGGGCTACGGTTCCACCAGTGTAGAGGTGGAAAACCACACTGCCACCTGCCAGGGTGGCACCCTCCACTCTCAAGAAGGCCCGCACACACCTGCTTAAAATGAGCAGAATGTGACTCTCGGATTAGCCAGTATTTGTAACTCCGCGGTGAGATAGGGTCACCTGGCTCCTAATTCCTTCTGTGTTTCACTTTCACAGGCTGGTGGTTTGATGCCTGTGGTCCTTCCAACCTGAACGGAATGTACTACCCACAGAGGCAGAACACAAATAAGTTCAACGGTATTAAGTGGTACTACTGGAAAGGGTCCGGCTACTCGCTCAAGGCCACAACCATGATGATCCGCCCAGCAGATTTCTAAATGCCTGCGCACACCTGAGGAATAGTGTCTTCCAGTTTCCAAAGACTTCATCCCAAAGCTCTGAAAGACACAGCTGCATGCTGCCTCCCTATCCAGCTCGGACAGACTGCCCACGCTCCAGACTGAGGGGACCCGCGAGCTCCCAGTTAGAGCCCCATCAACGTCACCCCTTAAACCCGCATCACTCAACGAACCGAAGCACAACCCCCAACAAGCCACAGCCTGGCATGGTGACCTGGTAGAAAGCCTACGGGAAGATAAATTTAAGCCTGCGAATGAGACTGACAATTTACAGGCTCTGTTGTCACAACCAAGAATGTTATGCGCGAGTCGATCAGTAAATAACTGGAAAACAGAACACTTATGCCATATAGTAGAGATAACCTTGGAACTGCATTCTTCTGAGCACTGTTTATAGACTGTGTAAATATCCATATGTCCTGAATTCAGCACCACTATCATAATTAAAAGGAAGGAACAATTCTCGAAGCCATAAAAATACACTATATATTCAGGGATTTTTACGAGAAGTGGTTATTAGCGGTTTAATATTTGGAGAAGGAAAAACATAGTTAACGCATTTTGACTCCTCCTCTTAGGGGCTTTAAATTTTCATTTTGAGAACAGCATATCTGCATAGGCATTGATAGGTTAGTTTTAAGTTAATGCTCAAATATATATATTTCAAGTTTCTGTGGTGAAGACTTTCAGGATCTCTGAAATTATTAATAGAAACGTGTTCTTTTAGTATATATGAAGATTGTACTATTTTTTTTCAGCCTCGCTGTTAAATATGAAGGGATTTTTAGTAATTAAATATAACTTATTAGGTGAGATGACCGCATTTAACTTTTATGATATTTACAACATTGTAATATGATTCTGAAACAAATGATTGTGCCTTGTGACAAGGAAAATCTTGATTTTTAATGATGAAGAAAATTATACATTTAATTTCATGACAAAGAGGCTTTCCTATCTTTTACTCACTATTCTAATACAAAGTCTTTTTTCTCTTCTACTAAGACGTGTTTTAGGGAAGTAGGCTACAATGTAGTTTGTGGTTGAGAAAACCCTTCCATTTAAAACACTTACAAAGCTATACTTCTCAAGCTGGATTCACCCTGGAAGTTATTTACAGGAAAAAATAATTTGCGTTAGTAACATTAACTTAAATCTTACTAGAATTAAACCACCAGCAAATTAAAAAAAAAAAAAGGTGTTCTGGGGCGCAAAACCAAAATCTGATATTTATAGCATATTCAAATGTTTACAGAAAATTTTGAGAGCACAGATTTAACCTCAGGACTGCAAAACCTTAAACTCCTAGAGTTTTAACTCCGTTTGAAGTTTTCATTGTACAATTAATACTAATGAACATTTGAGTAATGCTTCATAATTTAGAAGCAATTTCTCATATATTCGCTTTTGAGTCAGCTACTAGGAAGCTTAGAGCCAAATTTGCAGCCAGCATTTACCTGTGTCTGTCTTCACCTTATACTGTCCTACCACTATTTTTTTTCTTTATTCCATTTTTCTTATCTAATTTATTTTATCCCCACACCCCCCTCCTCTTCCCAGCTTAGTTTTACGACGCTCAGGTGTTGCTGAGCAACTTATGGACTCTGGACAAGTCAGGCCCTCTGCTTTTCCACCATGCTGCACTTTCCCAACAAATATATTAATGAGAACATAACCTCCCATCCCAGAACAGCTCCTCTTATTACATGTAAGAAGGCGTCATAAGGTTAGCAGAGGTTGAATTTATACACAGCTTTGTATCAAGCTAAAAAACATCTGATAATAAGAAAATATCACCGCCTCAAAAGAAACAATAAATTTCCATGACATCTCAATGACCACATGACAGACACCGAGGTGGGAAAATGATAATACGGGAAAAATTGGCAACAACACAATTTATACTCACTTGCCCATGTAGGCAGATAAGGTGAGTTTCAAAGACAAACCTCACTATGTTACTCAGTTACGTATACTCTCTCATGACAGCGAGTGGGGGAGAATTTGAGTTTTTACTTTACACTTCAACTCCTTACCCGGTATTTCAAACAAAGAGTCTTGCTGAGAGGAATTTTTTCTCTCCTTAAGAAAACATTTATAAAGTCCAGAGCAAATCAAAACAGCAATCTCAAAAATGAAAACAAAAACAACCCAACAACTAGATAACCACAGCGACTGGAGGACAGAGTTCAACTTCTCACTATGTGATAGCCATATGGCATACTCAAACGATTAAAAAACATGGAGACCACTCACAGATTACACATCATCACTTACCTTTCAGGTATTAATCTTTTGAAAGGATAAAACGTGACAAACCAGTTAACATTTGAAAACAAAAGCCAACTTCTGCACAATCCTGCTTCCAACTAAATCTGAAATTACCTACTTATTAATCTTTAAAAAAATTAGAACCTGGAACTTTCCCATTAAGCATCTGAAATACCTGAAAATCAGTAAAGCTGAAGCTGAGTTTCAGGAAAAACATCAAAACAGAAACACCACATCACAATGCTAACAGGCCACAATTTTTATACCTATCACTTCTATCTCTTTTAACAGTAACAGCATTATTTTTTAAGGCAGTAAGCAATATATAATAGTATCTTCTCAAGAATCTAGTCTTTTTTCATTTTTGTTTTTCTCAGTCCTGAGGACTTGTATAATTAAATTTTTTGAGATTACATTTCTCACAACTTTTTGAGGAATGTTCTCACATTCTCACATTTATTCTCACAAATAGACAAAATGTGTTAAGTTCCGCAAATATGTCTTTTTAGTTATAGGCATAATTGCTCTTGATTTAATAAAAAAAACTTGAGTGTATATCTATGCTAATAATGACTTCCGGAAAATACCAAATTGTATTTACCACCATAAAATAATATGTGACTTACAGGAGCTGCAGGGAAGTAGTCTGACTCTTCAAACGGTTCCTCGGAAATCCAATGACCCATTTCCAAAGACCACAGTACCTATAAGTGAGAGAAGAAGCAGAACATTTTTTATAGACTTATTAGGCTTTTAGTGGACAATAAACCAGTTTGAAGATACAACAAAACCAAAATAAACAAACAAAAAAACCCTAGCAGTAACTACATACTACATTGATCCGAAGCACATGTATCTTGAACACCAAAGTGCCATCAGAATCTTCAGGTTACAAAAACGTTACAAATATTAATAAACGCTTGTTTAAGAAAATGTCTCCTGATGGCTAGAAGTCTGGGTTATTATCCTAGTGAGGATAACCACCCCGTTTCTAAACATATGAAATATTACGTCTTCCTAAATTCCAGTTTCCAATTTAAGGAGTCATTATAGACAATCCTTAGTAAATAATACAGAATTTTATTAATTTAAAAAAACCCATGTATTAGGAGAAGATAGATCATAAGCCTAAATTCAAAAAGCAAACCTTTTGGTGTGTAACTTTATTTCTATCATTAGCTAATGTTTTTAGGAGAAGTTCTCCACATCCATGTTTGGAAATCCTTCTCACACTTTGGAAGAGTAAAACGTCTCATAAACAAGCTGTCATCATCATCGTTAGAACCCACACATTTTTAAGTAATCAAAACAATGTTTTCATTTTTAATTCAACATTTGAGATTCTGCACTCATCTCTACTCTATGACCAAACTCCTTGAAAAGCTGTATGTCTCTATGTACCAGTAGAATTGTACAACTAAAATAATCAAGCTGAATTACATAACTCACACTGATCTTTTTATCTGCAATTTCCTTCTTTCCTACATTCAGTAAATCCATTTTTTTTTTTTTTTTGCCCCTAGAGTTGCTATGTAAAACTCAAGCGTTTTTTTGCTGAATTAGCAGGAATGAGGTCTAAGTCTTCCTTTTTGGTAGTTCCTAAAGTTCAGAACCATTTATGGGCTATCAGTCTGAAATATTTCCTTTTTTATATATTAAATCTAATACTTACCCAAAATGAGACAGCAATGTTTTGTTTCTAAGAAAAAGTGAGCATGACAATGGAATAAAGACAAGAACGGAATACAGAATCTGAATGATCATTCTCAGCACTGGCCCAGATCTTACTTTCAACAGATGCATTTACTCATTCAACAACTATTTCTTTCTGCTCACTATCCATTCATCTGTGAACAACTTATTGAGAGCCTACCATGAATAAGAGTCCAAACTGGGTCCTGGAAACCCAAACCCAAACCTAGAAGGGTTTACCCTCTTGCAGGAGGCATGGCAGCAACCAAATGCTGGTTCCTCCAAAGCAGGGCTGTGCAAACCCGTGGTAGGAAGCAAACTAACTCGGGCTAGGAAAACCAAGAAAGGGTCCACAGAGGGGCCGACATTTAAACTGAGTAAAAGTCCATCAGGCAAAGAGAGAGACAGTGGGAAGGAGAGAGGGTATTCCGGCAGAGGGAGAACACCACGGGCCAAGCCAGGATTAAAGTAGCTTCTTTTTTTTTGGCTGCAGTAGAGGGAGCTTTGGAAGAAGTGGTAAGAAAATAGGGTTGGCTGGCTGCATATGGTAGGGAAGGTATGATAATATACCCTGTCCTACCCCTGTGTGCTGAGGACATCAGTGCAAGCACAACTGTTGGGCAGGAGAATCCGAAGACAAGCCAGAAAAGACAGGACAAACAGCTCCATGGGCACTGGGCCCAAGATGATATAGAGAGACGGAAAGCAATGAGTTGGGTTCTCAGGGACCCTGTTCAATCTTCAATAGATTTGTGTGTAGACAAGCATTTTGTCATTGAAGTCCCTTTTTGTTTCCCCGATTTTTACTGCCTAACAAACATTACAAAAAAACAAAACAAAACAAAAAAACCTTACCTTAATAAGTCCAATGAAAGAAGGTATTAGAAAATTGCTAACTCTGCACTGAAATCATGTTTGTACACACAGCAAACATGGTTGATGGGTGGTTAAAATAACCCATTGAAGTAACAGTGTTTACCTTACTCTTATCAGTCGATGTATGTTATCATTTACAGAAGACACACTAGTTCCCTACAAACTCATGTGATTAGCCCAGGAAGTAAATTGTGGAAAGTTTCAAAATCAGGTTCACTTCAAGACATGAGGCATGTGGAAGACTAGTATAGTGAGAAACACAACGTAGTAGTGAGAGAATCCAGGGAACCAGTCTTAAAAATGGCTGTGGCATTTGAGTTCAAATGTAAGCCACATTAAAATATCAACTGAATTTAAACAATCTCTTGGAGAAGATGTATGTTCTCTGAATTTGTCCACTTCTAAATGTTATAAAAATAAAACCGTAAGGCATCTACAGTAGCATTTTGGAAAGTAAATTAATAAATTTAATTTATGTAGGCATCCCAGGAATGAGTATTGTACAGAGATAGCAAAAAACACTAATTTGATTGTAATGAAATCATCAAATCAGAAATAGAGTGTAAATTTTTTTGCTTTAGTTCTTTCATTAGCTAGACTTATCTTTACCTTACTAGAGTGTTCAAAATAGGGAAAATCTACTCTGCAAGATGCCAGTTAAGGCTGCAAGTGTAGTTAAAAATAAAAGGTTAACCTGGGATATTTATCATAATATACGTGATAGAATGAAAATAACTGAGAAGTTATACAAAGCAAGGAATGGGGCTGCACGAGTACAGGGGATCGAATCCCACGTGGATAGCCCTTAAAAGGAAGGCTGAGTTATTTCAGCATCCACTGCAAATGAATACGATATTTTTGGCATTGTAAAATTATCACGCATAAAACTTGGACCTTGTTGATGAATTTAAATAGGACCCATTTTCTCGCCTTATTATTAGATTAATAGTTAATGATGAGACAGCTCTCCATAATGTAAGACTGACTTTGCAACTACTTTCATACCAGGCAAAATGCAAATGGTTTTCTCTCATTTTATATCCACCTGATCATTCTCCTTGAACAGGGTGAGGAGTGTAACTAGAGTGAACCCAAGCCAGACAAGGGCTCTGAGATTAAATGCAAGTCAAGAATAACATCAAACACAAAGGAGAAAATGAAGCCAACTATGTACACATTAGCAAAGTGAGCATAATTTATTTTCACCATCTCACAAGACTCAACTAAAATGATGGAGCTAAGAGGAATGGGAAAAGAGCCCACTGCAGATAAAAGCTGATGATGTTTTGAAAGTTGCAAAGCAAATGGATAAATGGTAACTGACTTAGAAGAGCAAAGAAACCTCGAGCTTAAACGTCTAGAGAGGGAGTCAGTAGGAAGCATCCAATTCCCTCCGCAGATTCCCAGAAAGGCTGGGAAATTGGGGGTACTAGAAAGCTCTGAAAATGCGGTGTAGAACAGGGTGAAATGGAGAAATCTCCTACCTCCACCCTCCTGCCCACCCTCCTCTGGAATAAGACAAAAGTAAAGTCAGACGGGCTTTTCTGGGAGCAGTGGTAAGAAGTAGCAGGGAAAACTTCTCCAGCACAGCCCTCACCCCGAGACACGAGCACAGAACTCCATGGCAGGACAAGGGCCTTTCTTTTGTGGAGAAACAAATCACCCCAGGGAAAAAAGACCTACAGATACTGACACGTGGACCTCCCTCTATCAAATACCTCCATCACATCAGATGATCTATACACTCAGATAAACAGAATTTCCATCAGCTTTTCAGTCCTCAATATTAAACATGACTTTCTACCCATTTGATAAAAGCCTCTAGCATGCAAACAGAGACCAGACCAAACAAAAAGGGGATTACTGGGATCACAGTGATGGGAAGTCCCAGGATAACAGCGGCTCCGTAGACCTAGGGAGAACCAGTCTCACAGGGAGCAGAGCAACAAACGGGTTCATGGGTGGTGTCTCCAAGAGAAATAAACGGGATTGGAAGATTACCTAATGTGTAGACAGTTTTGGAGAAAAACTACAACGCTTTTTAGAAATTCTTGTGGTGAGTTAGTGATAGGTACATAGAAAACTAAGCAATGAAAATGACTGTCAACGATAAGCTCAAGAAAAACAAACAAAAATGACCAGAAATGGAATAGAATCATAGTACACTATATGGCTCAGCTCAAACAGCATTCACATAGTCATCCATGTGTGCATGTAAATGTGAACAAGTATGTCTTCATATGCATATATAACATGTTAAACAAAAAGCAAAACCATACTGGGTAGATGGGGAGGGGACGTGTATGTCACAGTGAAAGCTATACAGTCATATTTTAATCTTCCATAGAAGGAAGCCTATAGATAACGTCTAAAAGTGATTTAAAAAAAAGCAGAAAAAGCATTTTATTTAGAAATATGAAAATAAAATATCAGAAGGATATTGTAGGAGTGAGAATCTGGGCTGGGAAACAGCAGGGCAGGGAGTGCCATTTCTATTAGAGGCCTCATAAATTACACTTGATTCTGAAAACATTTTGTTTTGGGTAATTGTGCCCTTACAAAAGAGTTGCCACAACAGTACAAAGAGTTCTCATTTACTGGTCACCTAGATTCCTCTATCATGTGAGTCTCCAACCTTCTATTTCAAAAGTGCTTTGCACCTAGAACCAGTTGTCGATATCTACAAAAACATCTTGCTGGGCTTGTAACTGAAACTGAGTCAATTCTAGAGTTCAAAATGGGGAGAACTGACAGCTTTAAAAAATACCGAGTTTCCCAATTCATGAACATAGTATCTCTCTCCTTTTATTTAGGTCCTTTAAAATTTCTTTCTCAAGAATTTTGGAGTTTTCAGCATACAAATCCTGCAAATATTCTGTCAGACCTAAAGTTAAATATTTCAGCTTCTGGAGCTGCTAATATAAATGGCATTTAAAAAAATTAGAATTCCACGTGTTCATTGCTAGTACACAGAAATACAACCAAATTTTGTATATTTACCTTGTATCCTGTAACCTTGCTTAACAACTTACTAGCTGTAGTAGCCTTTCTGTAGACTTGTTGATATTTTCTAGGTAGACAATCATGTCTTATGTAAATAGACAGTTTTATTTCTTCCCTTCCCAATCTGTGTGTATATTTTTTTCTTACCTTATTGCACTGGCTAGAACTTCCAATACAACACAGAAGAGGAGCAGTGAGAGCATTAAAGTTGCTTGGACAACTTTGTGAGGCAGATTAATTTGGTTTATTATAATAGCATAAACCCAAATTGCTCTTGTTTATAAATTAATGTGTCTATGTAAAGCACAAGGGGTTTTTTGTTTGTTTGTTTAAGTAAAAAATGGTCTATTGTTATTTAGTACTGGTGCTGGCTAACTGTCACAAGCTTTTATTAGGTTCTTCAACTCTCTATAGAATAATTAGAACATTCTGAAGGATCAAAAGAACTAAATGCCACTTTCTGGATCAGAACAAATCAAATTAATTTTTTTCTTTAACATTCACTTTCACTTCTTAATATTTTGAGAAATTTTCCCAAGAAATGTTCTTCAGCTGTCTTAAAAATTAATTTATTCACAGAGCATTTAATAAGCAAAAACACTAAACAAGGTACCCTTAATTTTTGGTTTCTCAAAAAAAAAAAATTAAAGAGAGGGAAAACAACAGTTATTTCCATGTACAAGTGATATGAGAAGATCAGGATAAGCAGAAAGCAACCTGTAAGAGGGATTTTAGGTTGCACTTAAAAAACTGAATGATGATGATTCACTGCTGGTGTTGATAATTACAAATTCAATAGGAAGCTGATTTAACTTACTTGAGAGTATTACTAATCGTGTTGAAACCATTTATTAACATTCACAATGTCTTACTGTAATTGTAATATTGTTTATTCCAAGTTTCTAAATAGTCAGGCTAACCAACCATTATTTTTGGACTTGTCTCCAGACCATACCACCTACCATATATAATTGTTAAATTCAACTGCAGTTTTGGTACTAAGAATACTAGTGAGAACATAGCAGCTAAAGAAAACAATGGTGGGGGGCTCCTTTGTGGGAAAAGTCAACAATATTCTTTGCATACAGAAGACTTCATATAGTATAAAATGCCAACTGAGCGATTAAAATTCAAATCTGATGGTTAGAAACTTGTGACACAGATTTAACCAATGGGAATCCTGTTAATTTCAAACAGATTGAAAGTACACATTATTTTCTCCTTTACTCATTGAAAAGAGATTGGGCTTGTCTTCATCACCCTCTGCCCTTCCACCCTTCCCCACACCAACTGGGGTAAAAAACTTGGTTGTGAGAGTCTGTGGAGGTATAGAAACATATATTCAGCATTTGCAAATTCCTTCTTTCCTATCCAAGAGTAGCAAAAATGGTCCTCACTAATTTTTTTGCTATTTTTAGCTAACAACAGAATTATAAAAATTAAATTATATTTTTCCTGTCAGACCTCATAGACTCTTTGCCTCAGTTATGAGAGTAATTGATTCTCTCAAACAACAAAACTTTAAGAGAATTTGCTAATAGGTCCATTGTTTCGACTTTTTCTAGAGGGAGAATAGCAATCTTTGTGTTTCTTCCACAAACAGACAGTATAATGTACTGGTTAAGAACACAGAACTCAGGCCACTGGGTTAAAGCAATGTCCATCTCTTCACAGTTTTGTGACAAGAAGTCAGTTAACCTTTTTGTCACATGAAAACATTATACATCATCACAGATTACAAAAATATCTGTGTAGTTAATGAAATTGCTGTGGCAATAAAGTTGATTCTAGGTTAAGCTTCAGGAGAAAAAATTGGGGCTATCAAAAGTATAACTTTTAATAACCATATAATAGGGTGCTTAAGTCCTGAACACTGTGGAGCCAGAAAGCAGAGGAGGTCTAGTCTCCCAGAAGGACCAACGTGAACTGGCAAAGTTTCAAGGTAACGATGTTTGTTCCAAAATAAGTATTTCCAACACTTCTCAGAACACCAAGAAATGCGTTCTATAATGCCATCAAGCCATTTTAAAAATACAAAGTCAGTAGTCTCCCTCAGTGAGGCAATTTTCCACGTGATTTTTAAAATTCAGGAGAAATTCACATAATACACAAGTAACCCTTTTAAAGTGTATGGCTCAGTGGCATTTAGTTTATTCACCATGTTGTGCAACCACTACCTCCTTCTAGTTTTGAAACTATTGCGTCAGCCCAGGAATACACCCCGTACCCATTAAGTGATTACTCCTCAACCTGCTCTCCGGTCCACCCCGGTAACTACTATCGGCCTCTGTCCAAGGATCTTCCTCTTCCAGATCCATCATAGGAAAGAGATCCCACAGTATGTGATCTTTTGGCTTCTTTCACTTGGCATCGTGCTTTCAAGGTTCACATGCATTATGATTTGAATGAAGACTAGTGACGGGTGTCAAAAAGTCTTGCCTACTAATATTAGTAAATCAATATCAACTTAGTGCTCACTGGACACTCACTGCCTTCCTCGTCACATAGCTGGGGAGTGGCAAGGCTGGCACCAAAATTTACTCTCTTAGCCATTAATGTTTTAAAAACACACAAGGTGGGCTTCCCTGGTGGCGCAGTGGTTGGGAGTCCGCCTGCCAATGCAGTGGACGCGGGTTCGTGTCCCGGTCCGGGAGGATCCTACATGCCGCGGAGCGGCTGGGCCCATGAGCCATGGCCGCTGAGCCTGCACGTCTGGAGCCTGTGCTCCGCAACGGGAGAGGCCACAACAGTGAGAGGCCCGTGTACCGCAAAAAAAACAAAACAAAACAACACACAAGGTGGTGTGCAGTCACAGAATGAGTATATCAAAGTTTAAGGCAGCAAAAATCAAAATATCCCCTAGGCTATCTCTGGAAGTAAATGCCAGAAAGGCTGTGGGCTACGAATGGAGGAAAGCTGAATTCAAACCCCAAATCCACCACGTTCAAGCGCTGTGATCGTGAGCAATTTATCAGAACTGTTCAAGTCTCGGTTTCCACAAAGGACTGTTATATTGACAAGCTGAGCATAGGTAAGTCTCCTGACAAGACGGCCCCACCTCTTTAACTTTTCTACGTGACTAGCATCTTCTGGAAGCAGCACCATCTCCACCCGCAGACATGCTCACTGGGCGCCAGCCCCTCCCTACGTGGTCCTGGGACCAGCAGCACCTGGGAGCTGGGAGCAGATGAAGAACCCGAGGCCCAGACCCACTGAATCAGAATCTGCGTTTCAGTAAGAACCCCAAGTGATTCACGTGTTATTAAGGTTTAAAAAGCACTGCTCCAGCTGTCTCCGAAAAGGGGGTGAGGGGAGCACAGAAGGAAACCCAGAACTTAACACAGTGTATTTAACCAAGACGGACAAAATAAGCAATAAAGTACTAAAAATAAGTAGTTACGAATTCTTCTCTCTTTTTAAGAGATATTAACTTACAGAGACGAAACACCAGATGGTAAGAGGAAAAAGAAACTACATGTTGATGTGTACCTTCTTACAAACAAGTCTGGCTGTATCACACGCAGGCATTCAAGTTAGATTTGTTCCGCTTATGCTTTACTCCATCTTTTCAGGCTGAAGAAATGAAAACGGATGGTTCTTGGATTTCAGAGCTTCACTGCTCATGGTTAGCTACTTTTTACATCCTGCTAAGTAGAGAGCAGGGTGACCCAGCATTCCACCAGTGTAGCTAAATGTGAAGTCCAAACATCTTCATAAATAACACGAGCTCCACTTTTCCTATCAAAATGAAAACAGAGAAATAAATATAACACATTCCAATGTAACTAAAATAAATAGCAGAAACATCACTTCGCTGTGAAAACAAAGTAGAAATTATTATGACCATCCCTGACAATAAACCAAATATTATGTCTACTAACAGCAATCTCTGTTGTTTGTTCTTTATGTGAATTTGAGTTATAAAGATTTTTTTCTTAAATGAGCATCAGGTCATCTTATCTTCATGAATTTTAATGAGAAACACATGAACTACATGGACACTTCTGTAATTTATAATGATGTATAGTATTTTTAAATGACATTTTTAGCTCATCAGAGGCAAGAATAAATTCCAAGATTTTTAAAAGAAATAACACTATGTTTAGTCATCTACTCACACATTGATTCAACTAGAAAGTGCTATGTTCCACGTCCCATCCTGAGTCCTGGGCCACATAAGTAAAGACAGGCACAGCCTCTGCCCTCAAAGAGCTTCTAATCACTAAATAAATAACCAGTGTCTGCTAAAAAGGGGCTGCTTTAATGTTTCAAACCGTCTCTGTTTCACCCTCGTCCCTTGTGCTAAGGAGGGTATGGCTGTCTCTACGCGAGGTTTTCTTTTTGTTCTGTTTTTGGGGTTTTTTTGTTTTTTGTTCTACGTGAGTTTTACTACCAAAAAATACTGTCCACAGTTTAACAGTTGAAATAAGTGTTCTACTTCGATAGGCATCCACAAATATTAGAAATGCCTAAAAGGAAAAAAGTCCTGTGCATAATATTAATGCTTGTATACTGGTCTTTCTTGTTTTGCTGTCATCCAACAAAACCAAAATAAAAAAGAGTTATAGGAAACAAAGTTCAGTGGAGATGTGCTTCTCTATTCACTGAAGGACCCTCTCCAATGGTGTGCGATATGGCACATAGCAGGCAGCCTGCAAGGAAGGCAGGATGGACCACGTGAAGGACGGAAGCACTTCATTCTGCCCCAGCGTCACGAGAGCCCACGACCAGAGATCACACAACTGCATTTATGTGTCAAGGCTGATGTCTCAAGTCTGTGAACTCCCTGAGAACCACCAGTGTTTGATAAATTATTAGGTTATGCAGAATTTTATTATTCAAGCACAGGATATTTGTTCTTGCAAAAGATCAAGGACCAATTTAAAAGAACTAAGAAGTAGATCTATCAGGCATCTAAGGCAAGCTGCTATTTCAGTTGACAAAATCACTTTTTTTCTTTTTTTAAAAAATAACTTTATTTTATGTATTTATTTTTTTGGCTGCACTGGGTGTTCGTTGCTGTACACGGGCTTTCTCCACTTGTGGTGAGCAGGGGCTACTCTTCGTTGAGGTGTGCGGGCTTCTCATCATGGTGGCTTCTCTTGTTGCGGAGCACGGGCTCTAGGCGTGCAGGCTTCAGTAGTTGTGGCTCACGGGCTCAGCAGTTGTGGCTCATGGACTCTAGAGCACAGGCTCAGTAGTTGTGGCTCACGGGCTTAGTTGCTCCACGGCATGTGGGATCTTCCCGGACCAGGGCTCGAACCCGTGTCCCCTGCATTCGCAGGCGGATTCTTAACCACTGCGCCACCAGGGAAGCCTGACAAAATCACTTTCAGTTATGTATTTCTTATTCTCCAGTTAAAAAAAAAGAGCCTAAAAGGTTTTCTGTAGAGAACCTTCCAGGGCAATGAATTTTAGGAGAAACACATCGTGTGGATCATACATAAAAAGTATCAGGTAGGGGCTTCCCTGGTGGCGCAGTGGTTGGGGGTCCGCCTGCCGATGCAGGGGACACAGGTTTGTGCCCCGGTCCAGGAGGATCCCACATGCCGCAGAGCGGCTGGGCCTGCGAGTCCGAAGCCTGTGCTCCGCGACGGGAGAGGCCACGGCGGTGGGGGGCCCGCGTACAGCAAAAAAAAAAAAAAAAAAAAGTATCAGGTAGCAAAATGTTGTCAATTACAGTTTTGAAAAACATACAATAGTTTTTTAAAATCCAGTATTTCTTGCATCCTCTCTCTTCAAAAACCTAATATTTCCACTAAAGCCCAATTCACAGAGGGTACTTGTGCAGGGATGAACAGAGCTCAAGTATGATGTTCTGTGGCAATCTATTGTAACTCAGGAATAGAGCTTAGAAACCTAAAAGAATGCACAGTTAACAATGTCCCCAAGGTCACCGACAGATAATCTCAATGATGGAGAGCTGGACCTAATTTTCGAAAAGTTCCAGAGAATGAAATCATGGTTGCATTTTCTGATGAGAACCTGAAGGTAAGATACTCTGTGCTGCTGTTTAAGGAGAGCACTGCTTCACTGGGATGCCAGAAACACAGGTGAAAGTTTAGGAATCCAACACAAAGTTGCAAATGTTAAATAATAAATATGTACCTTTAGGTATAACTGAAGTTTTTTTCTAAAAATGAACTTTGAATTTGCAATTCAATTCCACATGGACTAAGTTGAGGTCCTAGAATTCTCAAGCATAAAGCGAGGAAGAGATAATTTGAAGTTAAGAAAAGTTAAGAACTGGCATTTCTACTTAGCTGCCCCAGTTAAACAAAACAAACCAGAAACAGTGAGACCCCTGAAGGCCGTATTTTGAAAAGGATGGGCAGCAACAAGCCCCGCACGAAGGGAATCACTGGGTTTTCTCATGTGTAGCCTCGTGCATTTACAGTTTGCCAAATACGGAAACTTCTGCTTTAACATACACAACCTTAATCTAGTATTTTTTTTCCCCTGCTAAAGCCAATAGATTCAGGTGCTTCACCAGACCAATTCCAATTCATCATAACAAAACCAAATTGTCAGGCCCCAGGAATGCTGTCTTTCAATGTGCCATGCTACGAGCCTTGAGTCACATTTCATGCCTGCCCCGTCCAGACGCCAGGAGGTGCAGAGACAGTTCTACACTCACTGTTCCCACTTCTTTTCTCACTATTAACTCTTCAACCCTCCTTATCATTAAGCCTGATGCTTCTAAGGTCTCTGACCACATCCATCTGGTCAAACCTAATAATGGTCATTTCTCTGTCCTTGCCCTCTTCGCTTTTCAGTGGAATTCAGCACCGCTGAACGCGCTCTGCTTCCTGAGACGGTTCCTATTTTGCTGAGAATCAGTCCTCCTGGTGGTCCCCCTCTGCCACCACCTGATCCTTCTTGGTTTCACTTGCTGGCTCTTCTTCCTTCTCCCCAGCGGTTGGCACCGCCCAGGGCCCAGTCCTAAGCTCACTGCCCTCCTCACTCCGCAGGTGCCGCAGCTTAAATACCACCTATGTGCTAATGGTTCCCAACGGGATATTTACAGCCCTAACCTTTGCCCTGAATAAACAAACAAATAAATACTGAATTACAGAAAATATAATTTGGTATTTATATTTTATACAATTTGATGTGATATCTCTCTGTGGTTGTTTAATAGAAATCGCAAACCTAATACGTATAACCCAGAATTTTTTTATCGTACCCCAAGCCCTGCAAACATTTTTCTTCCCCAGTATTCCCCATCTCAGTAACTGGTACCACTGCCTACCCTACAGAATTCTCAATCATTTACAGCTGCTCAAGTCAAATATTTAGGCAGGAGGCACCCTGACTTCTCTATTTCCACACACCTATGTTGTCCAACCCTGTCAGATCTTCCTAGAAAGTGCACCAAACTGATCCCGGTCACGGCCATCGTGCTTTCTCACCTGGACGATCGTTAACTGCCTGCTTCAGGTCCCTCTGCTCTTGCCTCCCTGCAATCCATTCTTTACACGAAGCCAGAGACAGAAAAGCCCGCCGTCCTCTCGTTAAAATACCCCGGTGGCTTCCCAAGCTCCTGGCCATGACCTATGAAGCCAAAGGCCTGTCCTCTGCATCCTAACTAAGCGCCCAGGGCTTTGTCTCCTGCAGTCTCAGCTGTGGGACCTATCCAGCACCTTCATACAGCGGAAGAACCAATTATCGATGTGAAGCTACGAATTCCAAAATGATGGTGGAACTTCACTCATAACACAGTCAATGGCTGCGTTCCAGGACTTCAGAGCCTCCTCCCCCTAAAGATGACTTTCACCCCTTAAACTCCAGCACGGGTCACTCCAAGGTGACACTCACAGTCCTGTCCACACAACTTTCCAAGTGTTCTCAAGAAGGGCAACACGCAAGCCCCGGACTTTCTAGGCAAATCACTTTTTCCTATCTGTCCTCAGTGCTGAGCCTATGGAGCTGGGAAAGCACAGCACCTCCCGGGTGGAAAGAGTACCCCAGGTCTGGCTGGGATGACAGGATGGCAGAGCAGGTGCAGGATCCCTACAGATCCACTACTTCCTGTGGCCCCAGGGTGCACAGAGAAGGGTCTTGGGCACCTTCCAGGAACCACCGCAAGTGAAAGGAGCAGAGGACGGCAGGCTCTGTGTCTGTCCACAAACAGAATCCGTCATTTTAATAATGAAAAATTTTAAATGAGGTGCACTTTGAGATGACTGTTATAGCCAGTGCCTAGGGCAATACCTTTATCAAGACTTTCAAAGATTCACATCCAAGTCAGGTGAGCTATTCTTCCCAGTGTCTCCACCACTAAACAGAACAATGTTTACTATCTCACAGGGTCCTGGAGACAGTGGATGTGAAAACGTTTTTTAAAGTATAAGTACTTCATCGAGGTATAATCTGCGGGAGAGTGAAAATAACTTGAATTAAGGCAATGAAGATACAAAGGCCCAGGCTGGAGATCTTATGTCATCAACGCCCAGCATGTGGTTGCAGCCAATAAATGTTTGCTGGAGAACTTAAGAAAACAGCTCACAAACCCTGGTGACAAGTGTGGTGTATAAAGTACATTCTGTCTCAAAATCATTCAAAGTTAATATGCCAACTTAAGGTTTAAAAAAAAAAAGAGAGAGAAAATAGTTTCAAGACGATGCCTTCTGAACAGTCCCAGGAGGGCAGGGATGTACCAGAACACCAGTGAAAACCCCAGATTCCAGTCTGGTTCTACCACTGGCTGTAATTTTAGGAGGGTGACTAAGCATTCT